TGTAGCTGATGCCGACATCGCAGCCAGTATTCTACAGTAATTTTTGGAAGGCAGGCGAGCTTAAAAGCAGCGTCCCCTCAAATTGGGGTGCGCCTAGATCTCACTACGTTGCGATGGCAGGCCTCCACACTAGGAGAACAGTGAAGTAGCAGAAAAGCGTGCTTGGGAGGCTCAAAACTCGTCTCGAAAGTCTTCCGTACCCCGCCCCTTTCCTAACTCCGCCCACCGCGACAACCAAGCTTAATGGTTCCTTCATGCTACGCCGCAAACTGCGGACCTTGCCGCAGCCTGCGGCTTATAAAGGAACCCTTGGGCTTGTGTGTTATTAGGCGGTGAAAGGAGTCTGGAAAGGGGCGAGGTCCGGAAGACTTTCGAGACGGCTGTGCCCAAGGATCAAATAACTCACAGAAAAGTCAAATCCTTGAAGGATGGGCACACTTGGCCTTTCTGGATAATTGAAGAAGACGTTCTGGAGCGTGATAGATCCACTGAGTTTTGGTTTCTTGCCCTTATCAGTCATTCCGTCAATTCGCGGCTCATCTTTTAGCATGTTGAAGATTAAACCGGCTGCGAACGTTGCCTTAACATATTCGGGGAAGTAGGCACTGGCAAATCCCATGCTTGTGGCGGTGAACGAAATGGCGAAGAGTACCCTGAAAATATGGAACTTGGAGAGGAAACGCAAGAACTCAAATTCTCACTACCGTAAAACATTCATTGGCTGCATGTCGCCATTGAGGATGAGCCACAGGCCAAAACGGAACGATAATGCGTATACGAAGAAGAAGGTGCTGCTAGCGAAACCGTATGAAGCACCCTAAAAGGCAGCGACAGGTGGATAAATCGTAACAAGAATCTCCAACCAGACCTGCATTACTGCTCTTCTTCTATTTGTCTTATGTGGTCCATCCAAGTGGCGACAAAACTGATAATGCAAGCGATGTTCTAGTGTCAGAGCTTGTACAGTCCTGATGTTTTCAATGGCCTCCATAGCAATCTGGGCACCATTTTCAGATTTCCTCACAGCAATTGGCTATGTCGCTTACCTTTCCACTAATTTCCATTTCTTTCGCATCACCGCCCGCTCGACCAGACATGAATTTTATTTGGAAAGCATGTCCGACACCAGCTAGCGGGAAAATGGCGAGAGTCTGGGCGAAAACTCATAAGGATGGTACTCTCGAAAATCTAATGAGAGATTTTCAAAACCTTGTAGAAGTCTTTCAACAAGTTAGTTCAAAAATAATGAATCGCTGAGTTGTGCTGTTTTCTGGGATGAAATTCCTGCAAAAAGCGAACTATTTTTATACTCACAAAAAGAGCCATCTGCCATCCGAAGTAGAATCCGATACCGACACCACAGCACACGGACACAAATGAGTTGAAAACATTTCCGAAACGATAGTCGATTGCCTGCGAAAAGGAAACTTGAGACAGAATGGATGGTGCTGTCAGAGGAAAACTTTTTGGGTGAGGAGAGAGGTTCGAGATCGGCAAACCGGCGGTTATGGGCGACGGCCCGCAA